CATTTATCACCTAATCAGCCAAGTAAAAGTAGAGTTAAGGCTATAAGAATATGTACTCAAAACACACTTGTGGGCTGGGATTCAATGGTAGAATGCTTGCCTAGCATGTGAGGCCCTGGATTCGATCCTCAGCACCACATAAAAATAAATAACTAAAATAAAGGTATTGTGTCCATCTACAACAACAAAGTCAATATCACAATTGAAACAAAAATTTATAAAACTCTTGGTTGAAATGGTAGCCAACGTTTTCATCCATTTTCTTAAGTTTTTTGCAAATTTCCTTTCCCTTCTGAATCTGACCTTGGGAGAAAGAAAGGACATTCTCATAACAGGGCTAACAGTATAAACTGCTACTTTAGGAGGGCAACTGCATCAGAGCTTTAAAAAATGTATTTTTTGATCCAAAAATTTTATTCCTAGGGAATTATCCAAAAGAAATAATTAAGGATGTTTGTCAAGTAGTTTTATGAACAAGCGTCCACTACAGCACTTAGGGGAATAAGACAAGAAGCCTCAGGACTTAAAAAACAAGGTTCTCCCTGAAGAACAACTTCAATAATAACAGGCAGAACAGAGGTTGCACTAGCTCAGGAAAGACAAATACACAATTCTGATTATGCTCCTCACCCATGGCAGTCAAGATGACTGGAACACAAGACTTTAAACAAAAACTAGGAGTGGCATCAGAATCCTTTCCCAGAGTATAAATAGCCATAAATCAACTGTTGGCCCACAACTTGAAACATTTAGACATGTCTATCATCTGAGAACTATATTCTAAGGGAAGAGATCATGTTTTACACAACTTTGGTTTGTTTGTTTGTTTGTTTTTGATACTAGGAATTGAATGCAAGGGTGCTTTACTGCTGAACTACATCCCCAGTCCTTTTTATATTTAATTTTGAGAAAGGGTCTTGCCAAGTTGTGGAGGTTTACCTGGAATTTGCCATCTTCCTGCCTAAGCTTTCAGAGTCTCTGGGATTACAGGTGTATGTAACAGGTCACAACTTTGGTTTTAAGGGTCTAGCACAGCAATGTCTAATAGAAACCTAATTTTAGTTACATACATAATTTAAAATTTTCTGGTACCTATATTAACAAGCCAAACAGGAGAAATAATTTCAACATATAATAAAAACAGAACATTAATAATTTATCTTTTTAAAAAACCCTTTTCCAGGGTTGGGGATGTGGCTCAAGCGGTAGCGTGCTCGCCTGGCATGCGTGCGGCCCGGGTTCAATCCTCAGCACCACATACAAAACAAAGATGTCGTGTCTGCCGATAACTAAAAAAATAAATATTAAAAAATTCTCTCTCTCTCCCCCTCTCTCTTAAAAAAAAAAAAAAAAAAAACCCTTTTCCACAATAAGTTTTTGTAGCATACCTCAATTCAGATGTTAATTTTGCTGGGAAATCATTCATCTATATTTACATTTCATGAAATCTAAATTAGATCTACATATACAAGGTGTGTCAAGCATTCTTAAAATTGTCCAATAACTGAATTTTTAAATTTTGATTTAAAATTTTTAATTAAACTTAAAAACTCAGTTACTTAGCCTCAAAAGGCACATTTCAGCAGCTCAATTGCCAACTGTTTCAGCTACAACTATAATGGACTAATATTTTGCTATTGAGTTAGGGACTGAATTAATTGACAGAAAAAAATCACACTACTGAGGGCAACACAGGATTAGTCACCTGTGCACACAACTGTATAGACAGGAGGCATACTTCCTATTATACAATGATTCCATTCACAGATGTAAGCAACTGATTTTCCTATTATTTATAGTTGTACCTGATCACTAGACGAAAACAGATTTTATTTTAATTTTCTGTATTTCTTTTACACCAGGTTAGCACATTACAGACTTTTTAAAAAGTTCTTTTAAAGTCATTTTTTATATGAATGTATCTTAATACAGCAAAGGGAACATCAAAAAGTAAAGTATTTGTTAAAATTCAATCTCTCAGCCAACAAACAACAAATTATTGATTTCACAGTAGCAAGAGTAAGAATTGCAGGTTTATAAAGTTATCAAATGCTACTTCAGCCTGACTGGCTTTTTTCCCCCCTGACAAAAGAGCAATATAATCTTATTGACACATGGCAAAGATCACTAATTGTGTTTATGGCCCAATGATTTTTCACACACAACACAGACACACACACACACACACGTATGTATGTATGCATGCATGTATATACACATCCTATGTGACCAATATCCAGAAAAAGAGAATATTTCCAGCACCCAAAAAACTCCCTGTGCCCTTTCCTAGTCCATACACTATCAGTGGTAACTGTTACTCTAAATTCTCCAACACAGTTTCATCTCTGACTAAAGAATCTTATATTTTAATTTTATTCAAAATAGTTACTTTTTAGCTTTCTTTTCTATTACATTAATGACCAATTACATTGCCGCCCCAGTCACAGCTATCTACAGCGTATTTCTTGCTTGACTATCATCTTCCCTAGTGAGGAATAACAAACAGATCAAAAATAACCAGTTTATGTTAGGCACAGTGGTCCACATTTGTAATACCAGCAATTCACAGGAGGATCTCAAGTTCAAGGTCAGCCTGGGCAACTTAGGAAGACCCTGTCTTTAAAATAAAGGGGGTGGGGGTGGGCCTGGAACAGGGATGTAGCTCAATGGTAAACATGAGAACAAGCACCACTGGATTCAATCCCCAATAGAATCCCCCCACAAAATCATACAAATACATGCCAATACAACAGAATACTAACAGTAAAAATAGGAAGTAAAATCAGAAAATAAGTTTTAAAAATTTAAACAACAGGAAATACAGGTAATGATGCACAATGTTTAAATACACTGATAAGGAGTTGGGAGTCCTACAGTTTCCCATTTCCAGATATTTCTACTTAACTTACTGTCTTGTTAGATCAATATACAATATGTAGCAAATTAAGTTTCATACAAAAACCACATAATCAAGACCACTATTTCCCATAGGCCTTTCAAAATCAAGAGTTAAAAGACTGACTACATTGCACATAGTGATACAAGTTCTGAAACTCAAGGACTTCAACATCTTCTAAAGAATACAGTATATCTTAACTTCATTTCTTCAGCACCTTAATTATATACTAAGAAGCAACAACTTTTTTCAAGTCCCAACTTCCTGGGAGTGAGTGGGAATAAGGACTATTCCTGTGAAATCATCTTAAAATTTTTCATTCAAGAACATGATTCTAAGCTCCCAATCATAAGCAATAAGAACTGTGCTTATGGACTCTTAATGCATGGTTGCTGGCATAAATTACAGATTCAATAACTTTTCTCTAACACCGACCTCATTTCTAGAGATCTGCCTCCATCACACCACACTTAAATATCCATTTAAAATAAAAAGAGTATAATAAAGAGTATACTGCTTCATGAGTATATTAATTCAAAGTAGAAACTGGCCCCATTTCTATTTCCAAGAGAATTACCAGAAAGACATTACACCCTATGGAGAATGAGCTAGATTAAAGGTTTTGGATCAAAACATCCAGAACAATTTCTTGGATACTTGGCACAGTTTCAAAAATGGGAACTCTTCAGCCTCATTATTACTTTAAGAAAACACGATAAATATGTATTGAACATATGGAAAAAAATACAAAAAAAAAATGAGTTGAGACAGCACAGCATCTACACTCAAGTACTGTGTATCAGAAAACAAACAAACAAAAAAAGAGACTCCCCAAATATGCTGAATCAAAGTAAAATAGCCCCAACTTCCTGGATCACGACCCAATTGGGAAAAATAATTTCAAGACATACAATTCAACACTGAAATGGATCTCGGGTATTTAAAGCAAATCAGAGTAGGAAAACATGTTACAGACCTAAAACCAAATAAATAAACTTCCTTGGAATCTCTTCTACATTTCAAACATAAATAGAGATAATATTTAAACCTTAATTTTAGGCAGTATGAAGTTACTCCATAAAGTGACTTACTTCATCTTCAAAAGAGCTGCTGAATAGTTTGAATAGTTTAGGTAACTTAAAGCATAATTATAATCCTTCAACCGATTTACGATAGTAAGAAAAAAAAATTTTTTTTCAGGCGTCAGAGAAAGCTTTTACAAGGTTCTCTTTCTTCCTCTGAGGATTCTAAAGGCAAGCTCCCAAATACTCATTTAAGCAATTCTATAATGTAACTAATACTGTAAGTATATAATTTAATGGCAAGAAGACATGGTATGCAAACGGAAACAGTTAAATCAAAATAATCCCTAATTTTATTCAAGAGAGAGAAAAAAATCGAATCTTAACTTTGTCAACCATGCTGAAGAAAGCATAGTAACCCAGAATCCCTTCAGAAGCACTTAGGGGGCAATTACCAACTGCTGAAGCAATAGCTCCACCTACTGATTCACAATACTTCCTTAAACATTTTGGCACCCCAAGTCTACACTGTTTGAGCTCATTCCCCCTCCTCCACTCCCTCTGACCCAACCCAAATCTAGTTGAGTCACTAGCTCTTAATACTCATGCCCATGCTCTTTATTCCAATTCCTTCTCCCGCCAGAAGGTTCTGCACGGACCCCAAATGCGAATGAAATGGAAAGGTGTCAAAGACTGTAGTTCCAGTTGTTAAGCATGGATCTGGATAAGAGGACAACCTGACCATTGCACCAGAAATGGGCCGGAGGTGGCTCAGGAGTCCGCTCCGGGGTAAGAGGCCCTAGGCGCCTCACAATAGTTTTTCCTTCTTGCCCCTACCCAGCCACACTTATCCTCAGGACAAAATCCTAGGTTCACCACTCTTGCCACCGCTAGCCCTTCAGCCCGCCAACAGCCTTGGTCGCCTCCGCCTCCTCTAGGAACAGAGGGAAGAGAGAAGCCTGGAAATCTCCCTTCGCCCGGTCATCGCCCTTAGTTTCTCCCCTTCTTCGCAACACTCCCCCTACACGGGCCCGGGCCCCAACACCCTGCCCGCCGGGCCCTAGCAGGATGCCCTTCCTCACCCTTTCATCTTCCCCGCCTGCTGAGGCCGTCGTTACCACCGCTATCAACGCCGTCGTCCTCGCCGCCCCGAGCTCTCGGCGCCCTCAACCCCACAAGCCGGCCTCCTCGCCTAGGGCACAGAGCTGAAGGGGTGACGGAGGCCGCGAAAGTCGAGGGCGGCCCTGAGTCTCCGAAGGGGGCGGGGGTGTCTCCAGCAGCCGCGCTGGTGCCGCGGCTTCTTCACACGTGCACTCAGGGCACTCAGCTCCCGCCCGCCGCCGCCGCCAGCCGGACCCGCCGCCAGCCGGACCCGCCGCCGCGCCGTGACCTTTAACCCCGCCCCCTCTGCGCGCCGGCGCGTCCGCCGCCTCGCGCGCAGCCGCACTGCTAGCCTCTACGTTCCCTCCCACCCACCCCCACTTCGGGACCTCCATCTTTTTCCTGGGCTTTGCCTTCGGGCGTTATGCTCCTCCTCCCATCTCTTACGACACTACTGGTGGGGCTAGCTTGGTAGGCCCTGGCGGTAAAATCCGGATTTTTCTGCCCCTCCTTCTTCTCTCCCACCTCAGCAAGATAAACCCTTCCCGACCCGTTTTTCCCAGCTGGTAGTATCCAGAGTGACCTTCAAACACTCGTATCCTAATAAGGCTTTATAAAGCTGTTTCTTAAGGAAGTCCTAGAAAACTCAACTAAATGAGGTGCTTTTAAAACAAACACAGTCAACAACCGGCAGGGTAACTTGGCTACTCTCCAGCACAGCTCAAATTTTGAAATCACGTGATCGGCCCAAACCTTACAGCCTGGGATTTCACCGGCGGGCCTCAGAGGGACGGAACTCCATCGCCATTTCCGGTCCCTGGCTTGTGGCTTGAACGTCACTTCCTTAGCAATGCACTTTAACCCTTGTCATCCTCGCCTTCTGCATTGCACAATCTTTGTAAAAATATATGCTCACTTTTTCTTTAGACGCAAAACAAAACAAAAAAAAATGTTCAAGAGATCTGCAGATCCCAGCTCGTGGGATGCAGCGCTCTAGGATGGGGAGGATGCAGGGCGGAGCTCGAGGTCACGTGACTGACTAGACCCGCCCCGCCCCCTTGCAGCTGAAGACAACCCCTCCCGCAGTGACAGAGTCTCTGGATCTGTGGTCGGTACAGTTTCTGCACCTCGCGCCCCAGCAGGTGAGCTGCGACCGGTAACTGGCGACTGGTGGGGATTGTAGAAGGGAGTAGGAGAAGACAAGGGAGACTGTAAAGAGTGGCCTCCACTGCTTGGGGTTTCCTCCCCGCTGTCACCGTGCACTGGCAAGGAGCTTATTTCTCCACATCTCTTGACCCCCCCCACCCCCCACCCCTCAATGTGATTGTCCCGCTACCTGTGATTTGAGGTGTCCACCTTTTCCGGGGTTGAGAGTGAGTGCGGCCATTATGGTTCCCTATTTGGAATCTTTGGTGCTACAGGTAGTAGGATTGCTTCAATCTTTCCTCAGGGTCTGCAATAGCCGCCAGCCCCCACTCCCCATTCCCCAAAGCCTATTCTTTGGCAAACGCCCTCACCCGGGTGAGCAGGAAGACAGGAAAAACCCTGGAGGCAGAGACGTCTGCGGTGAAACAGGCTTGGGAGGGAATGTCACTGATATGGCCCTCACTGCAGTCACTGAAAAGCTTCCTTTCGAATGTGTTTTCTCAGTAATTCTAAGGGTTTTATCTGACATCCTTGCAGGAGAGGTTCTGTGGATGTCCATCTCCTTTGGGTGGGAATGGAAGGGTAAAAGCAGAACTTACAACTTTTTCTTCTTCGAGAGGGTGGATAGTTGAAGGAATAAAGATATGCTGTCTTCAAAACAAGGGTGTTGGTAATGCGACATTCTCGATTGAATGGAGAGTCTTTGAAAGATGGTGTTGCTGTGTGTTGGTCTGCAGTAGGCCCAGGCTAGCTTATGGGAAAGTGACTAGGTTTTCCTGAAAGGGAAGTAATTCTTTGGAAACTGATTGGGCTGGGCGTATAATTAAACCAAATTTATTTGACCATAACTTAAAAGACAAGATGATTAAGTAAAGATACTGCTGGCTGTTTTCTGCCTTTGTCATTCTTTTTGCCTTTCCTCCTTAAAATCTACTTAATTGACACTCCCAATCAATACCTTGACCAACTTTGTGGTAAATTTGAATTAAATAAAGCTTGTGTTTCTCCTTAGTTTTTCCCAGTGGTGAATAGTATTTTGTGAAAATACAGAAATTGTTTTGCCTAGATTTTTGACTACCCAGTGCTTCTCCATTTAATATATAATGCAACAGCCAATGTTTTTACCCTAAATAATGTACTTTAGGAAAGAATGTGTTCCAGTTTGGGGTTAAACTTTTTTATTTGTATCGCAAACTCAGAAAGTTCTTGTTTCTTTTAAATTGAAAGTCCCTACCAAAAATTACAAATATGATTTTTGAAGTTTGAATTACACCTAATATGAAAAATCACATTCTGAGTTAAACCTTGTAGTTTTCTAACCAGTGTAATTGAAGAATCTCTTTAAAAGTCTTGAAAAATGAGGAAGATGGAATCATTATCTTTTGAGTTGTGAATGTGCTGACTTATTTTTGTTTTTCTGTATCTTCCAAATTGAACTTGTTTTGTTAAGGAAAGCTCAAAGTTAAACCTTATTAAATGATGGCAAAATGGAAAAACTGGCCTATTGATGTTTCTTACTAGAAAACACAACCTTAATGATTCTTGATATTTACCCAAGTAATAAAGATCACTGTTGTCTTTTTTGTGGATTTTGAATTTTCGCACATTGTACTTATGACCTATTCTGGACAATACACTAACCATTGATATATTTATATAGCCATGACTATTACAGATGTGAATATATTTTTGTTCATTTCATTTGTCCAGAGTGAGGTTCCCTGATCTTTAGAGGAGAGAAAAAAATAGTGTTGCTTCCTTGCCCAGATGACATCACACCAATAAGGAGAATTCTTTAAGTGCTCTGGAAATCAAAACCTGTTCTGTCCAGGTACACCAGAATAGGCAAGAAAAAAACCAATTAAAAAGCAAGTTCAGTACAAGAGAGGAAAATACCAATATGAAAGAGGTTGAATGAGTCTGCAGTTTTATTTCACAGTTCTTCCAATTTTAGGGAACTTATGAAAGAAAGAACTCACACAACTGATGAAATCTGGAAAATTAGCAGCAGGAATTGGTGACTAAATTGTTGTATAGGTACACACACACACACATGATTTGAAGTTTGGAAGGCATTTTACAGACTAACTATCAATTTGTGAGTGTTACATGTAGAAATTTTAACATTTATTGAGAAAGTGTGTTATAATCCACTATAAAACAATACATAAAGATTTTTGTGTTAGGGCCCCTGATATCTCTTATTTTCTTACTATGAGGTCATTCTCATTTTTACTGCCTTCATAGATTGTTATAACCACTAAGAATGTTTCCTTCCCCTATAAGCAGAGGTAATCTTGCAGTCCTGTGGACTACTACACAATCTTTTTCTGTTTTTATTTCTGGCATATTGCTGTTAGTTGGACTGTTCCTCCTTAAATCATAAAGCTCCTAGGAGTTCAAGGACTATGTCTTTATTGTTGTTTCTTCTGCACAAGAATGCAGAAGTACCTGAGAGGTACTCATTAAATTGTTGATTGAGTGAATGCTGAACAATTAGACAAGGAGATTAAACTATTTTAACTTTTGGAGATCATAACTCCTTCTAAGTTCATACACTTTTAGATATAAGTTTTATATTTTTAAATATAAGGTATTAGCTTTTAAATATAAGTCAGTAATAATAGTTTTCCAAGTCATGATCAATAGAATAGAAACAAACTTCATATAGACTTCATTAGGTTCACAGTATGTATATTTAATAATAGATACGGCTATCATCCAGATATGGTAGGGAAGTGGTAGGAGTAAGTTATTTTAAATGAAAAATTAACTCTATTATCTACAAGTGAAGTTGCAGTAGACTAAAACAGAGGATCTTCATTCAGCTGTGCCAGCTTAGTTCTATGCTACATGCCTTTGTTGGGAGTGCTGGTTTCGGGTTTGATATCGAGGGTATATAAAGCTGTGAGTTAGAATGAGATGATTCTAGATAATCTATTAGAAAGTATTTTTAAAACTAAATGGTGGTTGGGCTGGGGATATAGCTCAGTTGGCAGAGTGCTTGCCTTGCATGCATAGGGCCCTAGATTCAATCCCGAGCACCACACACACACAAAAAAAACTAAAGTGGTGAGGCTAGGGCTGTAGCTCAGTGGTAGGGTGCCTGCATGTGTGAAGCACTGGGTTCAACCCTCAGTACCACTGTCTTTACATTTCGATTTCCCAAACTGAAGCCTGGGTTTAGAGTCTCACCCCAACTCTTAATAGCTGAATGACCTTGGGCACATTACTTAAGTAAGATTGTTTCCTCAAGTTTAACTCTATCCCATAGGTGCTGTTAAATTTAGATGAGTGTACAGTGTCTAGTACACACTTGTAAAGTTTTTTTTATTATTAACTTTACTGGCATCTACTTTGATTTTATGTAACTGAATTCCTGAAAGAGACTGTATCCTACAAAACTTGACTAACACCCATTTTTGAGCACCAGGTTAGATATGGTGAAGAAAGTAGCATATGAAATGAGGCTATTAAGGAAAAATTAAAGCAGAAAAAATATATGTCTAGCAAAGTTTCGTTTCTTTTCTTTCTTTCTCTTTTTCTTATGAGATGAGGATCTCACTTCACTGTGTTGCCCAGGCTACCTTGAACTCCTGAGCTCAAATGATCTTCCTGTCTCAGACTCGCAAATAGCTAGGACTACAGGTGCACACCATCTTACCCAGCTTCTAACAAATAATTAATAGGAGCTGAGAAATATCAGCAAAAAAGTCCTGTATTTTATCAATTATAGTGATTTAGTATTTTCTGCACGAAGATTTTCCAAAGCATGTGGTAATTAATGTGTGGAATCAATTTAAGGAGGCAGTTCTTCTATTTCTAATTTTTTTGTCCACAATGAATAATAGAAATATATTGTACAAGCTGTAGAGTGGTGTTATTTTATATCTTATTTTTATCTTCATGAAATTGACAAAGAAATGTAAGGAACCGAGGATACATGAACTAGATAATAGTTTTCCTTTCCTAAATTAATACTCACAGGATTAATAGTTTTGCAATGGTAAATATCAGTAAGTTAAACAGTAATTAAAGTATAGCTTCTGTGAGCTTATATGTCATTTTAATCATAAAAAATATTGCTCCTTCATTCTAAGGAAAGATTTTATTAAAAGATTAAATATTT